AAATCCATTAGATCAACAGATCCCGTTCCATTGCCAGATTGCGGGGTAGTGTTTACTCTGTCCTCCATAATTGCAATCCTACAGACTCGTCAATGCAGCTATAGGGGTTTGATCCTTTGGTTGTGTAGAGCCAAGGAATACTGCGCCACAAACTCGTTTGCAATCTGATGGGTAGGTACCTAGGTAGAGAGGAACAAGTGATACAGCACACGAGATACAAGGTTGTGAATGTAAAGTCCTGGTCTGTATTATTCGATTTGTATTTTGATAGGGTTGACAAATGGTGAAATAATGTTTCAGAAGATACTAGCGGGAAAAAAGTGGGCGCTGACAAGGAAGATGATGGATACTTTATTTTGACGTAAGAGACTTGGATTGATAATCTAGACTAGAATCAAATATGACAAACCTATGAAATATTCGGAGTTGAAAACTTGCGAAATCCAAATCATCTTCACCTGTGATGAGGAAAGCTCGAAGAAAAAGGAGGTGAATCGGTGCATTGCTGACAAAAAGTGACATTCACTAGCTCCATCTGATTGGTGGACCCAACCGGGTTATCCCCGAAGAATACGAAGCATATACATAGTATCCATGACTGACTGCTATTCGTGCCAGGCACACCCATCTATGCATCTATTCCGAACTCTCAATGATTAACGACACTACCTAGCTGACTTAATTTCTACCAATATTATGTATATTCTCAAATTGTATTACCTATACACCACACAACATCTCATGATCAGACAAATTTCTAAAGCCATATATTCATTCAAGCGTTTCCATCGAGTAGCATCATCGTATCTATTTCTCACTGTCTTTCCATACCTAGGTGTCTAGCGTCAGTATCGGTATTAAGTATTACCGTTTGTCAGCAAGGTAAAATGACCTGCAACCCAAAGATGGCTTGGAGGAGGCTTTGAGGATATGTTGAGGGGTACTGACCGCTGCAAATTTGATCCAAATGCAGCAGCAGCCTTATAAGTGACAATTATACGAGGCGGGCTGAAAAGAAAGGGGCACTGGATCGACATGTAGGACTCATTTGAGAATGTTATAGTATTCTAAAAGGCATTAAAATTCATTGGTTAGATATCCAGTAGACATCAGTGTAGTTAATGCTCGCTAAAATTCTCCTTGCTATACCCAACAACTTCCACTGGTTAAACACCAAAACACGTTCAGTCGCGGGAATATGAGGCTTTGGGTAGCTAGATGTGGTTGCTTGGACACCCTTTCTAAAATGCTGCACCGTGATTCCTTTAATTATCTTAAACATGCTTGATGCTCCTCGTGCGAATAATGAAAGAGTTAGATGTAAGAAGTAAATAGAACATGTTAGTCCACAAAGAAGTATGAAACGATAAGGTGACGAGAACGCCGTAAAGAATTCTATCGTACAAAATTTCTCAAGACACAAACTAGTTCCCAAAAAATGGTGGATATCAAGGAATTAGACCTTAAACTCGGGGTGTCTCGTAACCAATACCGAGGCCAATAGGATCAGAAGCCCTCGATTTTTTGTTCGAATGTCCAGAAGAATAATGATCATCACGTCTTCTCTTCTCAACTACCGGTTTAGTGACAGTTCCCCAGATCTTTGACTGTAAAAGTTCACTCTTTGCTGTAACAGGATTTGGAGTATTGGTTCTAGAAGGCGCGACCTCAAAAGATTCACGAGGATTGGCGCGTAGCATTTCATTTGCACTTTGAGCGGCTCGGCTTTCTTGGATTTCCTCATGGTCCACACTTCCACGTCCACGGCCACGTCCTTCGAATCTAGAGTTGTTAAACTCCTCAAAATCCTCAGCTGAAATGGTACTATCGCGACTTTCGCGTCGACGTTCGCGAGGTGGAAGTTTCGGGGTGCGGTTGGCATAAGCTGACCTAGATGCACTGTGTGGCATGAATTGTGCAGAAGGAAGAAGTGTTGATTGCGCAGTGCCTGGACGAGCCGAAGGAGGTGTGTTAGGCAACGAAGAGAGAGATTGAACACCTCGATTGTGCCTGTTGACTGGGGTACGTGGGCCAGCACGCTGGCTGATGAGAGGAGTGGACGGTGCACTATTGTTTTCATGGTGAGCTGCAGCTAAGAGAGCAGCAAATCCAGGTTCTTGGCCATGTTCGCGAGATTCAGCCATCGAGCGACCGGTCATGGGAGTCTGATGTGGCGTTCGACGGTACTGTTGTGGAGTAGCTGGGTAGCTGTTGTGTGATAGCTTCGGCGTAGCAACATGAAAGAAACCCCCAGGGCTGCGCATAATGTTGATGTGCTCTCGATTTTCGCGAATACGTTGAGTAAGACGATCATTTGTCTCATTAGCAGCCTCCAATTGGTCGTCCTTTGCCTCTATTACTTTCTTGGCTCTCTCGAGACGACGTTTGATGGTCTTGTTCTCTGTTTCCAGGCTCTTACAGATGGCCTTGAGCCTTGAAACATACTCTGGACTGGGTGCGTGCGGATCACTTCTCCCCTGATATGCAAGTTTTAAAACCTGTACTTCTCGACGCGTCAATTCATGTTCCGCCTCTAAATGCTTAATGGCCTCTTCGGACTCCAGGGCCAGAAGCGTGTTTTGCAATTTGCAATGTGCTTGTTCCATACGAGATTCTCGAATTGCGTTCTCCAACTTGCTATTGTCGGAAATCAGCATCTTTATCATTTCTGTCTTTTCTTCTGTAGACGCGTCCGTAATCTCTTGAGCAGTCGGTAGTCGGGTGATGTTAGGAAAAGAAGCTGTCTTGATTCCATTTGAGTCTGTGGCACGTGAAGATCCTAGATCAGATGGCGACGTTGTTGCGGTTCTTTGATTTGGGAGCGATTGATGAATATTTGATATCTGAGATGATGGTGGGGGAGTCGTTGATGATGAAATATGTCGACCGAATGACAAACTTCGCGTCAACATATCTTTTACTGCTAAGGAGTCATCGCACTCCGATTCTCTAAATTCACCTTGCGAATTGCCTGCTAACAAGAGGGATGTTGAAGGTAAGCGACTTGGACCTTCATCTTGAGATGAGGCAACACTTTGAGTGAGTTGGACGGCAGTAGAAACATCGGGCGGAGTTGACGCATCGTCGAATGAGCTAGTGGAAGCCATTGGTTTTAGTTTTGTGTACCTCGTAGAGAGGGTTGTGTCTTATGGAGATATTAGCAAATATGAGCGCATGGAGGACTGATAAAGTATTACAATTTTCCAATTCTGTGCGGAGCCCAGGGCCAAAAGAATTGACTTCCGAGCTTGCTTAGACTTGCGCGATCGCTGGTAATATCTTTAGGGAATCGCAGATGTATGAGTAGTGTTGGAAATTAAATGCGCCCGGGGTGAGGAGATGTGAAGCCGGAAGGGAGGTATAGGTAGGCGCTCGGAAGGGATTTGGTTTGCGATCGACTTGTTTGCGATTGCTACAAGACCAATTGTGATACAACTTCCGTTGATATGCTCAGGTAGCAAACGCGATTGAAGGGTAAGTGAGAATGGAAGGAAGGGGTTATTCTTGCGATTGTAGTATGCATGTATGTATGTATGTGTATATGGTAATGAAATAGATTTGTTCATATGATGTGTTGTTGTAAGCTAGAGTGATAAGAGAGGGTTGGAGGTGGGACAGTTATTTTGCGTTGCGATGCTTTGCAGAAAACGACTGGGGTTAGCTCTGTTGCTAAGGTGATAGTCATGGTCATGTGGGGAAGTGAAGTTTGAAACTGAACCTGAAAAGAAGAAGGCTGAGGATGTGGATGAGGAAGAGGCTGCACTAAGCCTATCTGATCTTAGTTTGATGTTGGAGGAGAGTGAAGGAGGAAGGCTGATAATGACTACCTAGTATCTACCTGCGTCCGTAGCTGTAGGTAGCTAGAAAGTAATAAAATAGAAAGAGTTATTATATCAATCAGAGAAAAGCATCATTGATCGACTCACGCACTAGGTAGTATGTCACTGCCTACATAGGTATATATGAAGACCATCAAACACCAAGATACTACGAGTAATACATGGGAAAAAAAGAACATATGAGTTTCTCCTTGCTTTTTCTTCGTTGCTATTATTGTGTAGGACTGTGTGATAGCTATTATCTTCTTGCCTATCCTAGATATCTCATGTACCTATCATGTACCTCTTATGTACCGATCACTTACCTAGGTAGTATCCTTGGCTTTCTCCAAGCTCGGACAATTGGACCCATTGAAGCATTATTTGGTGTATTATTATGAACCAAATGAACTATATACTATCGTATATGAACGATGAACTATTGGTATGAACCATCAAGGCTTCATAAGCTCAAATTGTGAATTGGATATCTATCTACCTACCTAGTACCTACCTCGTAATAACCCTGTCTCAACCCGACTCAAGTCATATATGTAGCACGGTGGCACTATCATATCAGCCAAACCTACACAGCACACACACATCACACATCATACCTACCTAATTACCTAGTACTCCAGCTACCCCTACTAATACCATACCTACCCTACTACCTACCTAGGTCCTAATCATCTCCCAATACCATAATCCGAGCGCACCCCCCGAGCCCCCCCCCACCTCAGACCATCCGTTCTCCTAATCATCGATAAATACCCACAAGGTAATAAATAAATTACCTACTATTCTCCGGAGAACTGAGCTTCTATGGCGATTGGGAAATGAGATTTCAATAAGAGATCCGCTTTGTAAAAGCAGCTCTTGACACGGTCACTCAATTTATTATCTACTCTGTATTGATCCGGAGAAGGAGAGAGAACATTCAGAAGTCTCTTTTCCTTTCGCAGATACTAGATACTATACAATTCGTGTCATCAGAAGGTAGTTTATCAATCGCTTTCCCCTTTCCTTTGCTGCCGCCTTTGCGTACCTTGCGTTTGTTTACAGGGGAAACCTGTTTGTTTACTTCGAGCGTCATCTCCGATTTTTACGATTTCACATAGCTCCGGCAAGGTATGATTGTTAATTGAATATATTATTCCTTTCACGAGTACACTCACAATCATGGACAACACTCCAGTCAACAAACCAAGGCCATCTGGTCTTCCTAGACCTTCACGTCTCCCACGACCTTCAGCCTCGAGGGAAAACTTGCGACAGCAACAGCAACCTGCCCGGCCTTCGAGCACTATAAGCAACCCACGTTTGCGAAGCACACTGTCGAGAGATCAACTGTCTGCACCAACATCCTCGAGACAACGGATCACAGCCCCTGCTGCCAGTCATTTACACCCGCGGCCAATACAGCCCAAGACAAGCTATAATTCCTTTCGAAAGCCGCCAACGATTGAACAAGAACCATTTCGGCCAGCTTCAAGTGAGGATGAGGATGTCAAGGAACACAGATTCTCTCCAGTAATAAGCGATGATGAAGAGCTTTTGAGTGGGAGCTCGTCTTCTCGACCTTCCCTATCCGAACGAACGATGGAAACACTTCAGCATATTCCCCCATCACCAGCTGTTCGGAGGAGGCAATCGAACTTCTTCAATCCCTCGGCGACTCCACGTTCTGTGTCTCGCGCGAGTTCATCATCCAGACCTGGATCCAGTTATCAAAATGATGGGTTTATGAGACCACCATCTCGCCGTTCTGCCAGCTCAAGACCAACATCAAGTGCGGATTCTGCTCAATCAATTACTGACTTCCGGTCATCTTCGGGCACCTTCCGACCTCCACCCACGAATTATCAAGCTTCTACGCCGATGAAACGACCAAGTCCTGCAAAGACACTCAAGACGCCAACGGTTCGAAGTAGCTTCAGTCCCGGAAGCATAGCACAGCTTCCATCCCCCGGTAATGCGTTACAAAGATCTCCAAGTCCGGTCAAACCAGAGAGATTGCCTACAATAAAATCTGGTAGCAAGACATTCAGTGCCCGATCAGTGAAGGAGCGTGCCTCTGTAACCGGTCTGTTTCGCAAACCGTCAATGCCTTTGATGGACCAATCGTTTGAGGCGGACAGCATTGGTTTCGGCCCAAGGAAGAGGTCATTGAATTTCAGGGATATTCCTTCTCAGTCTGTCACATCGGCGCCTAGTGAAGATGTTACAGAGAAGCGCACTGCCATGGACAATATCAGCCCTATTGATAGAAAGAGATCAATGAACTTTAAGAGCATTCCTCATAGACCTGTGACATCAGCTCCCAGTGGATCTGCTTCAACCGAAAAAACGGAAGAACCGGTTGCGCCAAAATCATCTTCATCTCTTAGAGATCAGATTGCGAAAGCCAAAGCAGCAAAGCGAGCGGCAGCAACCGCAAGTGCCGCGAGTAACCACGACGAGGTACCTGTAGTTCCTACGGCGACTTTTGATTTCGGCCTCTCGGATGACCCCTTTAATCAACGTATTGATCCAAACGCCAGTAAAGGCCTCCTCCGCAAGCGAATTTCTGCTGCACGTACCGATGGTCGCCTCAATATCGCTGCCATGGGCCTCAAGGAAATGCCTGAGGAGGTCATGTCCATGTACAACCTTGATGCACTTGGTGATCAGGGTGGATCGTGGGCTGAAGCTGTCGATTTGACCAGATTTATTGCCGCTGACAATGAGTTTGAAAATCTTGGTGACAACATTTTTCCGGATATCGATCCACGTGAAGCCATGGAAGATGATGAATTTGAAGGCAACATTTTTGGTGGCCTTGAGACATTGGATCTGCATGGAAATCTGTTGAAAGAGATTCCTCTGGGTCTACGTAGACTTGAGAATCTGACATCTTTGAATCTGGTAAGTTGACTAGCTAATATTTGATGTGCTAGAATGATCAATTGCTAATTTTCAATAGTCAAACAATAAACTAGGTAATGAATGCCTCCCAATCGTTACACAAATCAATTCTTTGCGGGAACTCAAAATAGCAAACAATGGTCTCTGTGGAACTTTGAGTCCAGATATAGAATGTTTGAAAAATCTCGAAGTTCTAGAAATACAACACAACGCTCTTGATACATTTCCGGACACTCTATCACAACTAGATCGATTGAGGATTTTGAATATCACCGAGAATAGATTTCAATCGTTACCTTTTGACATTCTTAGCCATCTACCCCTCATTGAGCTCATAGCTGTCAAGAACGGCCTCGTTGGTATTCTCGTAACAGGAGCCGTGAAAAGCCTTCCACAACTTCAAGTTCTGGATGTCACGAGTAATGCAATTACTGCTCTATGCGAATCAGAGCTTGAGTTACCTTCACTTCATCAGCTGAGCTGTTCCTCAAACCGCATTGCAACTTTTCCAGATTTGACTTCCTGGGTATCTTTACGAACACTTACAGCCGAAGATAATAATCTTTCTGAGCTGCCAGCGGGATTTGTCGATCTCCTCAAGATCAAAAATGTCAATTTTAGCGGCAATAACATCAAAGTTCTGGATGATAGAATCGGTCGAATGGAAAGTCTTGACATCTTTCGAATAAGTGGAAATCCACTCAGAGAAAGAAAGTTCTCAGCAATGTCAACCGAAGACCTGAAAAATGCTCTACGAGCCCGAATTACACCAACTGAGCAAGAGAAAGACGGGTTCTTGTCTGAGCCAAGTACCCCAACCATCTCCAGTCGACCGTCGTCTTCTCATTGGCCCGTCAAAGATGGAGGAATTCTCGATCGATCTAGCACAACTTCTCACTCCCTCAATCCAGTGATAGCTGCAGAAGTGGCTGCACGGGATACAATCAGAGTTTTGCACTTGCAACATAATCAATTCAAAGAAATACCCAGCTCTATTGCTTTCTTTGCATCTACTCTCACCTCCTTGAGTATCGCTCATAATGAATTGACGAGCGACACATTCCTGAAGGATGATTTAGACCTACCGGCTTTGAAGGAGTTGAACCTTAGCTCCAACACCTTCAACTCTCTACAACCACTCATACAGCATCTGAAAGCCCCCAACTTAGAGAAACTCGATATCAGTTTCAATCGTCTAACTTCGTTACCTGTTCTGAAGCCTCATTTCCCTAGCCTGATATTCCTCATGGCATCGAACAATACGATCCGCGAATTGCTGCCGGAAGCAGTTCAGGGCTTGAGACATTTGGACTGCAGCAGCAATGAAATAAATAGTTTAAACTCGCGAATTGGGCTTATGGGTGGACCAGATGGACTGCAGACTTTGAATGTCAGTGGAAATCGATTTCGTGTGCCAAAATACACGATATTAGAGAAAGGTACAGAGGCTACATTGGCATGGTTGAGAGATAGGATACCCTCTGCGGGCATGCCTTCAGAGGAAACTAGTCCGACAGATGTCGATTAGAATGTGATTCTTTGTATCAACTTAATCATCAAGGTACTTAGATGGGCGTTGAATGATACTGAGTGGGAGGAGTAATATTCCCTTGTGGATGGGGAATTGGTTATCATATATCGTATAGTTTTGTAATCAAGATTGTCCTATGGACTATATGTAATATTTCAAAGCCTTTCAAATAACCTAGTCATCCCAAAATCATGTTCATGACTACATCTGAAAAACAACCTACGAGCAAGATAATAAAAAAAGGGAAAGGATTCTCGAAAAGCGACACGTGACACTGTCGAATTCTGGGCTCTAATCCAATCGCGACCGACTGACGAACTCCAGCTGTCCTCAAATCAACCCAATCCCGAAAAGAAAGCAAAACCACAACTTTCCTTACGAACCACACTCCTTTGCCCACCCTTGAGAATCTGCCAACTCATACACGCATCACACACACCGAAACCCTAACCTTATAAAACACATCAACCCCGAACCTGAGCAATCGCACACGGAATCGCAAAGATGACGCGCGCACAGCAAACTATCTCTATTGGCTTACTCGTCACTTCGGTATGTTTTCTGCCTCTGATTGTGTGAATTGGTCATCATGTGTTGGAACTATTCTGTGCAAATTTGCAAACACGTCGTAGGATGTTACGGCAGATTCGGGGGGCGAGATTGGAATTGGAAAGAGAAACGGGCGAATGATTACTGATTCGAGGCATTTACTTAGTTATACCTGGCAGTTTACTTGGAGTTAATACCTCTTCCTGGAAAGGTTTCTGAGGAGGTTATTCCTGTGGTACGTTATGTTTGTGTTATTTTTTTTTCTACATCCTTCACCTCTTCTCTCCTCTCTTCTTTCCCTTGATGAGCATGCACCGAGGGAACGGATATGGCTACTTGTACCATACCCATAACATCTCTTCCCGCTCACGATGTCGAACTTCCTCTTCCTGAGAACTGGGAGAAGGTTCCTCTCTCCCCTCTCATAGGTGATTGGACATACGAGTCCTTTCCCTTCCCCCCGCCCGCTTCTCCCTCCTCGACTCTGTTTTCCCGTCGTGATGGCTCGATCAAATCGATAGCCACAATATCGATCGTCGCCCACATCAAGAATATTATCGCTGACTTGGTATTGTTCTTGCGCAAATAGTTGCCATTCTGGGTGTTGGTTTCGTTTGGAGCGTATCTTTTGGGGAAGTTGGGCTATGGCGTTTTTACGTTCAACGATGTGCCAAAGGCGCATGCGGAATTGATGGAGGAGATTGAGTTGGCGAGGAAGGATCTCAGAACGAAAGGTGTGGATGTCGATTAGATGGTGAAGGACGACGCATTTCAGGCAAGGAGAGGCAGCGCGAATGGATATTGAGTGTCATAGTCATATTGGCAGCGGGTCGGAGTCGGAAGGTTGAATGGAAGGAATAAATTTGTCGCATAATTGAAGGGATATTATTTACATTGGCGTGCTATTTGTTATGGTGCCGAGGGACAAGTGAAGAGTGTGTTCTACAAGCCCAATCCGTGATTGAGCAGATCTATCTACAGTATGTGATGTACAGACACCAATGAGATCTACCGCAATCCCTTATGCCTCTACGCCGTGAGCGCCCGGTTCTTAGTGTTTTGTACTCCAGAAAAGGATCTCTATTCGCTTCGGGTGTACCAATATTCTTCTGGTACTTCCTGCTCTTGTTCTTCTACCTCCCCTTCTCCAGTTTTCCATTACCCCGTCGTGCCTTCTCTAAGATGCTTTTCCTTCAACTTCTTTTCCTGCGCCATAAAAGCTCTTATGCCAACGGGCACTCCCTCGAATAAATTATCGGTATCTCCCTCCCCTCCTATATCCCAGTTTCCCTCACTCCCACCACCATCATCATCCATACTCGTAGCCGCCTGTGCCAAAACCCCCGTACTTTCTTTCCTCTTTTCTTTCTTCAACGCTCTATCCGCATCTTTCTTAGCAGCCGCCCACTCCTCTATTTCATCTCGATAGCGATCCCAAACACAATTCACACACCCACTCATACAACAATTATCTGGTTCTTCTGGGCGCGGCGGGACGAGTACTCCTGCTATACGTTGACTTTTGCGCAAGATCTCGGAGCGTCGTTCTAAAGGGGAGGATAGACGAGAGGAGAATAGAATCGCAGGTTCGGGGTCTGCGGCGGGTTCTGTAGGAGGAGAAGACGGGGTTATAGGCGGATTTGAGGGGGAGGCAGTAGTGGGGGGCGCGGAGGATATTTCTGGAGAAGAAGAGGAGAGAAGTAAGGAATAGTAGTCGCCTACAGGGTGAGCTTGGTGGGCTGGCTTATTGGATGTAGATTCGTGGCGTGGAAAGGAGGGGAGCTGGCGGATTGAGGGTGGGAGTTTGAGGCGTTGTGACAGTCGGAGTAGGGTTCTTTGTTCCATGTTGTGTAGTTCGGCTGTTATATTGAGAAATATACTCTGTAAAGTAATTTGAAGGATATGTGTTATCGCAAAATCATTAGAGAGACAGTTGGATCTTCAAACAGTTGGTTGATTCTACGTAGGTGAAGAATCGGCGGCAGGCGCATTATTTATTTTTCGGGGATTGAAGCTTCGGAAAGTTTTCGAGAAACGTCATCGCTGTGAATTGGAACGGTCAGCATCCGCAGTAGTATTGAAACTTCACTCCACATTCAAACAGCAACATTCGTTCCAGGTTCAAAACTGTGATTGTATTCCATTATAATTATGAGTGCCTTCCAAGAACTGTTATAACCTGAAAAGGTGATAAATTTTTATTAATGTTACCATTTCTGTTTAGTCATGATTGTACTCGTAGTGAAGTGGTGAATTTTATGTTTCTAGCTATCTCGCGAAACCCCTCCCGTCGCGTCCTCCCAATACGCGATCCAAAATTAAAGTAAACATTGCTTTACAACAACATATTTTTCTCCAATTGAAACAGCAATGGGATAGCGCAAGACGCCCACGGATATGGCAGATAACACCCCCTCACGTCGTTCGAAGACTCCAATTCCCACTGCGAATGTCCCACCAACCCCGAGTCGCATTCCCGTCCCTTCACAATCGTCGCGTTATCCCTCGTTTGCCTCTCCAACGAAGGCAAGCTTAGCACGCCATAATCCGCAAATACTCGGGAGAGCCACTTCTACAGGACCGGAAGTTGGCAGATCTCCGAGTAAAGGGAGAGTACAGAATACTTTCAATAGAGCGCTGGGAAATACACCGCAACGAGAAAGAGGAAGGAGTGTTACTACTGGCGCAGAACGAGCAGTTTCAGAATCGACCAGAGATGATGCGATTACTCGGACACCCACGAGAGCTCGATCGATTGGAGGTGGAATGGCATCGAAACCGAGGAGAATGTCAAGATCCCCTGCCAAACGGCCAATCGCTACCGAAACTCCAAGGAGCAATTTCAAGCCCGCGGCAGAATTTGAGAATATTCAGGGAATTGCGAATCCATTCAAAAAGACGGGTTTGAGAAGGTCACCCGTACCGGGACAAAGTAGCCAGCCTACGGCAGAACCGCAAGAACAATCGCAAGATGATTTCAATCCTTTCAAGAAAACTGGGCTGAGGAGATCACCACCTGCTGCGGTGCCAGCTTTAGGAACAACTGTGCCTCAAACGTCTATAGAAATGGATGAATCTGTCTCTGCCACTCCAAAAGATTCGGCACCTTTACATGCCTCTACTACACCAAAGGAGCCAGTACCTGTATTCCCTTCAACAACACCCAAAGAACCGACACCTGTATATGCTTCAACTACACCGAAAGATCCAGTACCCGTTCAAGCTTTAAAGCCTTATCTTAGGGCTCCAGAGGAAGTGGTCATTAGGAGCCGAGGTTCAAGTCAACTTCGTTCTTCTCAAGCTTTTGGGTCTATTAGTGTTCCAGGTACACAAGTTGCACAATCAGCTGAATCTGCTCTGCCTGCGAGCCCCGCCGAACCCTCCCGGGCTTCAGAAGAGGAAGAGATTGTGCCTGACTCGCAAATCGCAGATCAGGTTGTTTCTACGACTCCAAATGATCCCGTACCACCTCAACCACGGACCTTACAAACAAATGACCCTTTTGTAATTGATGTGCCGCAACAACAGGAACTAGAGGACGAACCTCAAGTACCCGAGCTTCCAAAGTCCAATGATGTAAATCCGTTGATGAGTGATGACTCTCCCACCGAGCGTAAAGCTCGGCAATTATCTATGTCTAGGCCAACACAACGGCCACTGTTCACATTTTCGGAAAAGACATTTCTGTCCCCATCTAAAGCAAGGCAGAAACCAGCAACACCAGAAGAGCCTGACTTGCCACCGACACCCACGCAGCGTGGTATTGCAGACCCAGTCGTCACAACACCACCAGTTGGAATTCACAATACCCCAAGCAAGACTGCCAGAAGGAACAAGGCACTAGGCGCAAAGATGAAGTCATCTCCGTTGAAACCGCGTGCAGAACCTCCGCCGCCAGAAGTAGACACATCACAAGAACCACCCGCTAAGAGACGAAAGTCGGCTAGATTTTTGATTCCGCATGATCCACATGCAGCGAAGAAGAAAGTTAGAGATGATCTTCTCAAAGAATTACAGCAATTGCAAGCCGATGTCAGTTTGGCGAATCAGGAGAATGAGAGGATGCGTCTGCACCACGAGTCAAAAAGTACAAAACCGCCAAGAGCATCAAACCCTGAAGAGATACTAGATTTACTCTTACGCTCAACTGCAATTGAGAAACAAGACAGGCCAGAAAATATCAGCGCTCTAAAAGCCACTAATCTTTTCTTGCCATTTGCTGGACGGCGTAAAGCCCGACAAGCAGTTATACCACCAATTCAGAAGCCTCTTCCATCCCATCTTCCTATAGTACTTGACGATCCACTCCCACATTTGCAACTATTCAGTCATCTGACATACACATCGAATATCACTCTTCTTCCAGCTGCGCCCATTTCGTCCAACGAATCTACTACGGAACTCCTCGTACCAACCTTACAACACCATCAAATTTCCGCATCCCATCCTTCTGGACTTTTCAGCGCACGCCTTTCTATGATAGTCGATACCTCTTCCCTGACCATATCCTCGCTTAATGTGGATTCATTAGATCCTAACGCGGAGCCTGAACTCGGACCATTTGTCCGGCGACGAGCAAGTAGTGATGGGCCGCACGCAAAAGATATTGGTACAGTGTGCTGGGCTATGGGGAGGTGGACCGAAGTATCTGTAGCGAGAGCAAAGTTTTGGTGTGATGCGGAAAGAGAATTTGGGACAGCGGAAGCCAGGAGGAAAAGTATAGAAAAGCAAGGGAAGAAAAGAAGGAAGAGAAAGGCTATTGAAGATGACGAGGTGGCTGATGGGGAGGGAGAAGAAAACTCCAGAAAATGGACGAGAAGGGAGTTGTTTCGACAGATGGGACGGACGAATATTGTTCTTGATGGGGATGATGTCCAGATTCGAGTGGGGTGGAAGATTGGTTTTGACTGGATCGGGGATGTAGAGAGTCATCTGGATCTTGATATAGGCTTGCCAAATAGCTGTAAGTACCAGTCTTCCTGGCATCTCATCGGTGATTTTGTGATACTAACACTCGTGTAGGGCATAAACAAGATGATCGTAAGAGTTTGAGTAAGATTAAAGATATGTTCGGAAAGCTAGTCAAGGAAAAGGGGCCATTGGGAGCTCTGAGAATCACTGTAGGACTTATCATGGCAGATTCTTCGTGATGGATTAGGAACTGAAAGTAATATTATGTTTTTGATACCCTACTGATCTACTGATTGATGAGTAATAATTTTCAGCTGATAACTTGGAGGCCTACGCGAAAGTCTAGATGGGATAGGTATTTATTATCAATTTGACAGAGATGTTGCAACGATGTTTTAGAAAATTTTATCTACTCGAGCGGTATCATCACTTGAAGATTCTCGATCAACTACTGAGCTTGTTTTTGTTAGCCTAATAGATCGAATATACAAGTGTGTGCACACTGAGCATATTGGTCAAGAATACTTCAACGAAGTTTGATTAGCAGTCGGAAACAAATTCTGTTCCAAGATGGGTGAACATAGTTTACTCGTAGTGAGGGCTTGTACCTGGCAATATGTATGGTTTCGTTAAATGTCTTTAGTCTTTAATGCCACAGCATTTTGGTGTTATATTTTTTGTGTAGTGAAAATTTGAGGTATGCTAAACACTGTGTTTCACTGAATCATAATTTTGAACACGTACTTATTATTCTAATCTACACACACATCATGACTTGAAGCTCTCTTAAAGGACCAACTGACTTTGTGTATTGATTTAATTTGAGTTTATAACTGCCACTTCTAACGCCCCCTAACCCAGTGTAACACTCGCTTCCATATTCAATCACAAAGCTAAGAGAATCCTATGATTTTCCTAGGTTGATATAGCTCATCAATGCTCGCTACCTCTTCCTTGGTTAATTCAAAATTAACGGCATCGACCGCCTCTTGAACTCTCTCAATCTTTCCCATTCCAACGATAGGCGCGGTAACATACTCCTTGCTCAAGCTCCAAGCCATGGCCACAATCGCCATACTGACACCTCTCTTCTTCGCAATCTCCTGAATCTTCTCATTAATCTTCAAGTCCGCCTCCGTAAACTCATTCCCCATGAACTTCCCACTCATAGCTTTTCCCCTGTTGCTTTCTGCAGCCTGATCGTGAGGCCTGGCTAGATACCCCATCATAATCGGACTCCAAGGAATCATACCCATACCAAATTTCTTCAAACTCGGCACCATCTCCCTCTCTTCCTCCCTATAAGCTGCATTATGCAAATTCTGCATGCTGATGAATTCCGTCCATCCGTTGAGTCGCGCCGTATACTGCATTTCCAACAACTGATGCGCATACATACTAGACGCACCAATATATCTAACCTTGCCACTTTCAACCACATCATGCAGGGCCTTCATCGTCTCCTTTATTGGCGTGCGCGCGTCAAATCGATGAATTTGTAGTAGATCAATATACTCCAGATCCAAGCGTTTCAAACTCGCATCTACGCTATCGAAGATATGTTTGCGACTCAATCCATACGCATTGACGTATCCGTTTGCATCTCTATCCTCAGGTGTCATCTGAAGTGGAGCTTCCCATCCCTCTTCCTTTCTCTTGCCAACCGGCGCCCACAATTTCGTGGCAACAACGATGTTCTCACGAGGCAATGCATACTTCTTGATGGCGGCACCGAGAATCTCTTCGGATGTGCCGTTGCTGTAGACGTCTGCGGTATCGAAAAAGTTGATACCGGAATCATAGCAGGCTTTGAGGATGGGGAGAGCCTCGGCTTCTTCGACAGCCCACGTTTTGAAGCTTCCGCGACGATCGCCATAGGTCATGCAACCTACGCAGATACGGGAGACTCTGAGGCCAGATTCACCAAGGTTGGTGTATTTCATTAAGTTCTTGGCCATGTTGGAAAAGGAGTTCTTTTGTTTGCTGCAGCGATGTAGAATGAAGTACTCTTTGTAGATGGAAACTAATGCCTTTATATACACTTGTGAAGTAGGCAAGAGAACTTGACGTCACCCGGAGTTTAGACTTAAGTCCTGGCTTTATTATTTAGTTTGCGATTAACAATCAAAGACTCCAGTTGTATGCAGGCTGGCGGGGTAAGGATTCCCCACGCATTGTCAACTAGATAAAAAAAAAACGCATTGGAAGACCGTTTTGACTACCAGGTTTGACATGGAGGACCGCCATTTATCACGAGGCTTAATTTTAACCTGCATATCTCAGGTACCCCACCACTGCGAATTTCCACTTCCAGTACGAGTAGATCAAAGAAAGATACAGGCACAAGTATGGAGTTAGGTTATAATACTTTTAGGGCCGAGGTTGAATAGAGTGACAGGATATATTCTCATGCAACAAAACATTCCATTAACAAGAGAATAAGGAGTTCAGTCCTATTCATCCAGCCGTCTAGTAATGTATGGCGGCAAAATACAGAATAAGCTTGTGTCCGACAGAATCAAACAGCAAATATGGTAGTAAGGTTGCCCAGTAAGAAAGATGAAACTCGCAGAATATAATTTTCCAGCGTAATTTTTGCTCAATTATATTGTGATGGTACCAAGAATGAAGGTATTCTAACCGAAAGATGATATCAAAAATTACGCCACCCGTATAGCGCCTAGTAAACTCCACGCATTTCATTCAGTCTTTGCCCGCTAAGTCGGCGATAGTCCCTAGTTTCTTTCCGACCTGAGTAGCTGCTCCAGCTCTTCCACCGGGTGTTTTTGCTGCCGGTGCAGCAGGGACCTTATGGATATTGAATGGTGAGTTCTCTGCTGCGGTGTATGCATCAAATGAGAACAGGGAGTAGAGGTAGAGTCCGAAAAATGCAATAATATCGTGGAGTAGCCTATCAAAGCTAAATTGTCTTGCCATCGTGGAGCGCGTAGGGGCAGATCCGCCCAGTGTTTGTCCTGGGCTGGAGAAGGATGGCTTTGGTGCACCGGCTAGTTTCACAGCATTCTCGATGGCGGTCGTGAGCTTACGAACATCTGCGCCTTGAATAGTTTCGATGACAGCGCCGGATCGAAAGATGAGGAAGGTTGGCATGCTAGTAGGGTTGTGAGAACGAGCTCTAGTAAGTATCGAAGGGTCTTGCTTACGCTCTAACTCCATATCGCTGAGCTATGGACTGCTGATTATCTACATTGACTTTCGTAAATGTAACACGATTTGGCTTCGAGTGCTTGGTAGCTAAAGATTCATAGGTTGGGGCGATGGCTTTGCAGGGTCCGCACCAGTCCGCATAAACTGTATGTATTGTTAGTGATATGCATCTATTGCATTGGGGGAAGTCGAATTACAATCGGAAACAACTATAGTTGATGAGCCTAGCAATTTGCTAAACTGCATAGACGATTCGATATGTACCGCCATTTTTATTGTAATAATGTCTTGCAAGTTCTGAAATATCAAGTAAGTTGGGTCGTCGGAATGTTTGTCTGGTTGCTTGCTTACGGATTGAGCTTATGAAAGCTTCAAGTGGAGATCTGGTCTGGTGTGGTTCTTTATCGGGCGCATGGATTATCAGATTCTGCCGCTTTATCGGGATAAACTTTGACCGCCTCCATATATATTTTGGAAAGAAATCCAAAGTTTCCAAATTATTTACAAAAATGGGTAGAGGAGAGACGAACGCAAAGGTATGTTTTCTTTGACATCACTAACTGGTCAGTGGATACTTACGTATTTGATTATAGAAGCGGAAGCGCCAGGCCGAAGCCAATGCCACTGGGAATGCCGATTCCACTGCCAATGGACAAACTTCCAACGGGAAAGTGACCGCTGCTGATGCGGTTGATACTTCTAAACCTACAGCTGTATTTCAGCCCAAGAAAGGTCGAGATTGGACAGTCAGTGTAGCTTTACCGGGAAGTATTATTGCCAAGTATTATACCTTTGCAAATAATAATGACAAAATCATGCTGACTTTTTCAGCGCTCAAAGCCATGATCTAAAAACATCTATGGCGGGTCAAATTGCCCGCGCCCTCGCAGTTTTTTGCGTCGACGAAGTCATTGTCTTTGACGATGGCAATGCTCGTCCTGCGAAAAAGCCTAAACATCCAGCCACTCAATCCCATAGTTCTCAGCAGAAGCCGCCTCTGGAAGACGAGTACACGGCAAAATCAGATCCCGATCATTTCCTTACCCATCTACTCAGCTTTCTAGAAACACCCCCAAATTTACGAAAGCATCTATTTCCAATTCATGAGAACTTAAGAACGGCAGGCGCATTGCCTAGTATAGATTTACCACATCACTTGAGGGCAGACGAGTGGTGTATGTATAGGGAGGGTACCACATTACCTGGCGCAGATGAACATGGAACGTTTGTGGAAGCAGGATTAAGAATACCAGTCACAGTGGTGGAGCAGATACCAGCAAATAATAGAGTCACTCTGAAATTCGACGCGGAAGGGGAGAAGGCCGCAAAAGATAAATCTTGTGATATTATCACAGCAGAAGCTGTGAGTCCAGAAGAGCCAAGAGAAGAGGGTGGCTACTATTGGGGATGGAATGTTAGGAGAGCCGGATGTCTAAGCGACGTGTTCACAGAATGTGGATACGATGGAGGCTATGATATGACTATTGCAACCTCTGAGCGAGGCGTTGATGTCCAAGATCTATATGATGATGAGGAACAGAAGGTAGGGAAGTTCAAGCACCTACTAGTCGTATTTGGTGGCGTTGCAGGCCTAGAAGTGGCTGTTAAGAATGATGGAGAACTACAGAAATTGGGTGTTGTGGAGGCAAAGGATGTCTTCGACAGATGGATAAATGTGTGTCCTGGTCAGGGAAGTCGAACTATTAGAACCGAGGAAGCTGTTTGGATAGGCCTGATGGGCTTGAGACGATTAGTTGTCAACAACGAATAAAGTGTAATTCAATACCCAAGGGTTCTGTTCACGGCTTCAACTTCTGATCTTTGCTATCTTAAATTGCACGTTGGGCGGAATTGGAAACACTCCACGCAGAAAATTGGAGGGATCGAAATCTTGAGTCTCCATCATAGGACCACTCTACTTTTAGACAATCAGACTAGGTAAAAGTTGATTGACCTTTGTCTCTCTTTGTCCCATATTTAGAATCTCTTCGACTTGCACAAACGACTTGTGAAGCTTGTTCCCCTGCTTTGAGTACTAACAATCTTCATTTATAGAAATTTCAATGCTTTGTCTCAGAGAGAAAGGGGAGATTCTTTTGACAGGGCTTTATGTCTTTGTTAGTACTTTTGCTATATATGACAGCTTGTTCTAGCAACAACATTTTAGAATCCACCGAAGCAAAAGTTTCAAAATTATACATATACTTCATAACTCCGTTTTCTACGAACTATCTCGAACTACAAAAACTGCTTATCACTAAATATACCACAATGCAACTCATCAACTACCTCCCAATCCTAGCCGTGCTCTCCCCAGCACTAGCCCTCCCAGCTCCAGCTATCATCTCCACAAATCCCAACACCCTCACTCCCATGTGCATCAAGCAACTCGACCCCAAGATGTGTATTCTCAACTGGAACACCAACACCATGGCCGTCAACAACGATCTATCTAACCCCAACAACCTCGTTGCTTACGCCCGCGCGACCGTTTACTCAAACACCTGTACCGTGATTGGAGCCATTAAAAACGGGCTCGTCCAAAACGTCTTCATCGATGCTCAGGGATGGAGCCAATCACTGATTCTCCAAAATGTTTTCGATGAGAAGAGGGGGTTCAAGGTTCCTCGTTGGAGCTTCAATGGAAAGGCATACACGGTCGATAACTGCGCTTGTTTCGATGGTCGTTTGTTGGGTGAGCCAAAGGATACACATGTCTGTGAATGTTCATTCGAATGTGCATAGATCTAAGGTACTTGGTTGAAGAGTAGGCTTTTTTTCAATTTCGCGTTTTCTTTCGGCTATTGTATTCAACGTCTGTTGTATACTTCATTTCTTTCTTTCTTTCTTTCTTTCTTTCTTTCTTTCTTTCTTTCTTTTAGTTATCTTTTGTACTTCTTTATTTGAGAAGTACACCACACTCATTTGGCTCTTAATTTCGTTTTCTTTTTTTTCTTTTGTTCTGTAAATACAAATATTTTCAGTTACTTCAGTCTATACTTTCATAATGTGACCTTCACCACTTCTCTCGGCGAGACTTCAATTGCTTCTTTTCCGTGAGATCTCATTGATTCTTCTTTTCTTCTATTGTTCTTCGATAACTTTTTTAAACTGTAATTATTATATAAGGACTCACGCGCACTATGCTCAAATGGAGTCAAGATCACAACTGCTCCTCTCTAGCAACGACCTCTCAATCTTGTTGTTTTATAATTGTATTCATCACAAAGATTGACGTCCATAGTAATAGTAACAATAGCGCTTCCTATAACATTAAGTAAACAAATCATGCAGATGCATCCAACACTGAACCTACAATGCTGCTTCAAGAAATCTAATATCCAAGTGAAGCCGAACTCAACCGATCAACATTCACGCTTGAAACTATTTTAACATTGTACAAAAAGGAAGAATGCTCCGCAACAACCGCATTCGATTGCATTGCGCAAGAGTATAGACTGCCACGATCACTTTTGAGACGAAGGATCTAAGATGTAAACTATGAGAATAATCTATTGAACGGACCCTCAAAGAGATCAATCAACGCCAAAGGTTGCAAAACCCATCATCCATTCCGCATCCCAAGAACTAGCAAGCGAGGAAGGTTCTTCTATGACTTTCATCTCATCCCAAAATAACATACCCCGACAACCCATCAAACAAACACCATTTCTTCCATCTCGTCCATACAGATATTCCACAGCATCTTCAGACTCGTGCCATTTTAGATATGGAAAGCAGGACGGTATCAACAACTCCATCCAAAATATCCATTTATATTTATATGCCTTCAACTAATCTTCTGTGCAGCGCAACTCAGACAATTTCCACACTCATCCATCTCCCTCCCTCCCTACCTACCTACCAAGAGTATCCCCAACAGTATCAAACCGCCATCCATCTAAATTCCCCCGTAGCACGCCCTACAAATACCAACAATTTAACTTCTAACCCACACCAGGATTCGCACCAAGACCCCCCTACTCCAACTAGCAGAATTCGAACTCAACCCCACAACACCCTCGCACATCACAACCTTCATCTTTGTAGTCATCAAAGGCGAGTCATAAAGTAGCGCGAACAGTCCATCTCCTATAATCCCGAGATGAGCACAGCCCCCTATCCAACTTCCCAGTAAAGATAACAAACCGGACGAAAATGAAATCCTCATCGAGCCCATCCCTCGCCAGCATAATCCTTCCGATTCAACCGGAACAGTCAACCGTGACTTCCTTTTTACCCAAGCCGTAATTATATAATTGGCGGGCTGACACAATGCTACTGCCATAAATAGAACAGGCCACCGCTTTAGCATTCCGCTCTCTCCTTCCCGCATCCGCACTTCTTTTAACCCTGTGACTCCTCTCCATAGCCGCACATAAAGCGCGACTACAGTGAGAAAGGGTTGTCGAAAAAGAAGAATCCAAGCCGTTGCGCGATCTTGACGTGCCCAAGAAGAGCTCGATCAAGATCGCCGACTAGATTATGATCTTGTATTTCATCCTTCTTACCTGGAAGGTTGAAAGGGAAAGATTTATCAGTATATCACACTAGTAGTTAGTTTATTTAGTTGAAATCAGTTTTGTTTTGGGACAGCATAAAAGAATAATAAATTTGTATTTGCGCGCAATGTAATGTATTCGTATCATGTAGAGATCGATAGCGCCTCGTCTCTTTGTCATTGAAGATCCATGGCATTTGACTTTGACTTCGTGTCGATCATCTAGGGTAAGGTCAGTGGTCAGTTGAGACAATCATCAGAACCGGTCCAACTCAAGTCTGCCAAAATAGAGAAAATAAAGGAAAGCAATGAAATCTGCGAAGCTATTTTACAAGTCAATGACCTTTCGTGCATTGAACGCCAATTGGGTATCTTGATCGACTTTATCCGTACGCCTTGATAATAAAATAACCACCTGGGCATCCCTTTGTACTGCATACTCAGCGACCTGAAAGAATGTACCGAGAAATGAACTAAGTGTTACACGGCTCTGGGCCTGAACATTACGTGAACTCATAACTACTCATCTTCAATTGGACCAACTATTTGTTCATGTAGGTGGGCAAGGTGGTCTCTTTGGAGCTTGAAGGATTCGTAGTTCCCACCAATGATACATCGAAGAAGACTCTGATTTTGACGAGTTTTAAGGTCAGCGTGTTGCAATGTGTTCATACTCTGCTGCAAAGCAGAATAGGCAGCAGAAAAGCATTCTTGAATTGCAGGGGTGTTTTTTGAACCACCTGAGATATCATTGTCGGGTCTGTTTGGGTCGATTATAGAGAACTTCGGACTATCAAAATCTCTGTAAAGGCCGCGAGGAGCTGTAGACTAGTAATAAATTAGTATCATGACAAAATTGATAGAGAGGACGACTTACTTTCGGGAAAAGCTTAGGTGGATTAACAGAAATGGCAGTGGTACGCGTGTTGAACTCGTTGCCATACAAGTCGAGGAACTCCATCAAGATCTCGCCGAGATTATGTTCTGGTATCATAGTTCCACTCTTGACCTGTGGCAAGTTCTGTAGAAGACTTACGACAAGACAAGTAATAGAAAAGCCTCCTATGCCACCATTGACAGGCTCATTAAGACCTCTCATAGCCAATAAATGCTTGATAATGGTAACCAATATAGGCATTGCAGGAAACTGAGCCTTCCACTCTTGAAAGGTTTTGTTTGCGATGAGGCCTGTATCGTTTTCAAAGGACATATCAACCTTCAGGCCAGTAATAGCATCGACCCATTTAGCAAGTGGCACTTTAGCACTGGTGATCACGTCGATTCTACCAGTATTAAGACGATCTCTTTCAATGTTGCTTTTAACCCGCCAGATATGACTTTTGCTGCTGTATTTAGGCCATCCACCGTCCATGAACTCATCTGACACCATAACAACATCCATGTCAGCGGTAGGCAGATAGAGCCCTGCAGGGAAAGAGCCGAAAGGTAAGATATCAGCATCGGGATAATATCTACGGAAGTTGTTCCTCAAGTCAACAAGTAACTTCTGTCTAATTACTTCTTCAAACTTGCGAGGTTTTACATGATAGTAGAAGTCCATTATCTCTTTATGCAGCCTTGAGAGGAGTATTAGCTTTGAAGTGTCTTTTGTTGGTAGATGAATCACTTACCAAAGTCCCATGTTAGAGGTATCAGAATGGTCTTGAAGCCAAGGGACTTCATTTACACCAGGTCCGGCACGCCACTCTTTAAGAAGAGTTCCACTGGACTTGGGAGGTTTACCAGGAATCAGCTTAGTCACAAGTGGTGGAGGCTTGATCACATCGTTAGCGGTACGCTTTCTGCTACCTAGGGCGGGATCGGTTGATAGATCTACTGGTTTAGATGCTCGCTGGGGAGTTTGGACGTCATCCATGGGCATGCTACTGATGCTAGTTGATTGGGTAATAGTATCTTGTGATTGCTGAGGCATGTCAAACTTTCGCATGTTTTCGAGGTGACTGAAAGATTTGGCTGAACCAGGTGCGGACTGCTCGAAGGGTTGAGGCTCGTAATCATCCTCTTCACTATCAATACTTGCGGGCGCATCGAGGTCAAAAGAAATGAAGTCGTCCTGAGCAGCATCAACTTTAGTAGCGCCTTCTTGACCAGTTGCGACACGAGCCTTCCTAATAAGTTTAACGACATCCTTCTTCTTTCGGTCAGATTCGCCTGGTGGTGGAAGGGCCGTGTATGGATCGGGATTTGACCATTTTGGAACACTGTCACCATCTGCAGCCTTTGCACTAGTTCGTGCGATCTTCTTCTTA